GGGGGGGGGTGGTGGTGGTTGTCGTGTAGAGAGTTAGGAGATGGAAGAATTAAATGTAATCTTTTAAATAAGATAATATCTTTAAAAAGATACTACAAAATGTATTTTATGTTTTCTTCCAAGGAGCTAGAATTGTCTTCTCATAGCACATTGTCTGCTCTCAATTGCCTTCTTGGCACAGGTGGAGAATAAAAAGGCCAAGGAGGAAAGCTCCAGAGCAGGGGTAAGCATCCCATCACTGCTGCACCCCCTAGTGGCAGTAAAGGATCCAGGAACAGGCTGGAGGGGTGCCACCTGTTCACGGCGCTCTCCAGGTGGAATGGAGTGAGCCACTGGGTCCAGGAGGGAAGAGTCAGCATGACTAAGATTTGACAGGGAGAACTGGCCACACACCAGCCACCAAATGAGGCCAAGGGCCAGAGGAAAGAATAGGCAAGGGTGCAGAAGGAGGAAGAAGGATTCCTAGCCTGCCCTGTGAAGCCACAGGAAGATGCAAACATGTGGCTTACCAAGGAAGGATAAATGTTGAAAGGAACCTGGCCCAAAGTGCTCTGATGTGGGTCAAGGCACTATGGTCCAGGCAAAACTCAAAGAATGGGATGAGAAGTCCTTCTTGGGAGATCAAATGACATGATTACCTGAAGCATGTAGCAAGGTGCCTGGCATATAGTAAGAAGTAAATGTTATCTGCTAGGATCATCACCACCATTACCGTCTTTACCCAGATCCTCCAGGAAATATCCTCAAGACATCCCAGCCCGGGGTCCTCACCTAAAGTGTTCACAGTGACCACCTCACTGAAGGCGCTCGTTCCCAGCTTGTTCTGGGCCAGGACGCTGAACTGGTATGCTGTCTCAGGCTCCAGGGCATCCACTAGCAACCAGCTGGGTCCCGGTGGCACTGGCAAAGATAGCCAGTCATGGGGCCCAAACTGTGCCCGCTTCATCCTGGCCAAAAGAAAGAGAGAGGATCGGGGACAAGGAGGTGGGGTGGGTTACACTGGAGACACGAGAATGCATGCAAGGTCCTCAAGGAGGTGGCACTGGGCAGACCTGGCCTTCCCTGGCTTTAGGATAGAAAGAGGAAATGACCAAGGTGGGATGACCTTCCCAACTCTGGCTGTGCCAGTCTTTTTAACGCCGGTCGCCAGCCACCACTGGCACCACCTCTACTAAAAGGAACCCTTAGATATAAGTGATGCTTACAATACTGGTAAAACTACCAATTGCACTGGGGGGCGGGGGATCTTTACCCTGGTCACAGCCCTAAGAGTACATCTGCCTTGGGAGAGTAAGGACAGTAGGAACAAGGCAGGTACCATCGTGGGGAAGTGAGGATGAGCAATTCAGCAATGGCAGGACTAGGGAAGAAATCCAGGTGACCTCAGCTGCCCACCCTCCCAGGGACAGTGAAAAGTAGGGAGTAAAGTAACCCAGAGGGCTCACTCAGTCCAACAAGGTTTGAGTCACCTGAAGAAGCCTAGGGTATAAGACAAAAATGAGCAGGGATTTCCCCACAGTGAGGACCAGGATCCTTAAGGCCTTAACAGTTAGAACTCATAATCAAGGGCAAGGTCACACTGTGTGTAGAGGACCCTGGAACTCAGGGTGAAGGTTAGCGTTTGTTCTACACCGCCCACCTAACTCTCCATCCCTGCTATTTCCAGGTGCAGTGCCCTGGGATCACCACGGGGAGGAGACATCATCCTATGGGACTGAGACCCTGGGCAGCTTTCTTCCTGCAGCCCTGAGCTACAACTTAGTGGATGCCGGCTCACAGGGTTCCCTCTAGGTTTAAATGCTCACTACCATGAATGCTTAGGAGTTTGAGCTGAGGCAGCAAAAAGCACAGCAAAAAGAAGCCAGTACCAAATGTCTGAGTCAATACGTGGAGAGTCAGCGGCAATCAGAACAACAGGAGGGAAGAAGACCTCCCCAAACTTTGCAACTACCCTTCCCACCCGCCCCCACCCCACCACCCCGGGCACCAAAGCAAGTGAGCAAAGTGTGATAAAGCGGTGCAGATGAGCAGCAGCATGGAGCAGGACCGCAAGCAGTGAGGGAAATCCCAATCTACACCCAGACCTGCCACTTGGACATCCCCAAAGATGGCCTGGCCTTGCCAAAGGCCCTTCCCTGGACACACAGCTGCCCAGCAGCACCATGATTCTTGCAGCAGTCACCTGGCAGGGTTGTCAGGAGCCCTCCCCCGCCCAGCCCCCCACCTTGCCTTGGGAGGAACAGAGATTAAGGGGTGGAGGATGTTCTGGTTGTAACTCAGAGAGTTCCCCACACTCATCATCTAGGTTGTTTGCCTAGTCAGAACTCAAAACATCCAGAATATTCAGGATGTACCCACCAAAACATCATGATGGGAAAGAGGGCAGCTTCCTCTTAACCCCCCTTGATGTTGACTAGTGTATCAAGGGCTCTCCCTGAATCTCCATGAGTTGCCCTCTGCAGGAATATTTCCTCCTTCCTAGGCCCTGATCGAGCCTGGCTGGGAATACATAGCCAGATGAGGCAGGTCTGAAAAGGAGGAAGTGAGAGGGCTCATCCTTCCCACTCAAGGATGTCCCATATTGCAGGTGGCCAGTTCTTGGCTCAGGATAGGAATGTGGGGGAGAAAAACCTTTGCGTGATGGGAAGGAGGTCCACTACGGCCCCTCTCTCCACCTTTTCTGTGCCTCTTGACCTCAGCCTGATTTATGTATGCATCTTTAAGATCCCTTACCTACCCCAAGGTTTAAGCAAAGATCTCAAATCACTACATCTGGCCAAATTAATAGCAGAGATATAAACACAATAGAAACACAGGGTCCTAGAGAAAATGAAGATGCTGAAGACAAGGCCAGAAGGCAAGCACCACTTCACATCAGTTTCTGGAACCACTGGGAAAGCGAGAGAATAAAAATTAGATTCTACGCTTCCAGCTGGGCTGTTTCTCAATGCCACTGAAGATTGGGAGTCTCTTCCAGACTCCAGAGGACAGAGGAACCTAAAAGAAGCATGAACCAAGGACACAAAAAGGGGTAGTGAGATAAGCTGAAGAGAGAGCAGCAGAGGGTGATGGTCAATTCAGGCAACAGCCTAAATTGGCATCCAAACCTTTCAGGCTGGGAATGCAGAATGCCCCGAATCCCTCACAGACGTGCCCATTCCCCACAAGACCTAGTCACTATGTCAACACACCTCACTGACTGGAGGTCTAGCAGGCAAAGAACTGTATCCTTCTCATAACGTCCACCCGCCCCAGGGACTGACTGAAGTCAGGGGTTGGGGGAGGGAGAAGCAGAGAGCAAAGCATGCGGGGGTGACTCACAGAGGTCCGTACCAAACTGAGAATGTCTGCTCGAATCCTCCATCATAGCCTGGCTCCCAGGACACGTTGGCAGTTGTCATGGAGACCTGGACCCGGACACTGCCCGGGGCATGGGGGCTGGTGCCTGGAGACCAAGTGGAGTGCTCTCAGACTGAAATGAACTGGGCCCAGTGAGCTGGGCACCCACAGTGGCACTGCGTAGTAGCAAAATGCAGTGCCTCAAGTGGAGCACAGAATGGCGAGGGATGCTGAGGAGCTGATGCCCTGAGCAGTAGGACTGCAGAAGAAAAGCCATCCCACTGTGCCATAGAGTCCTTCTAGCAAGATATGGCACGAACATCAGGAACATGGCCAAAGGGAAACCAGAACCTTCGTCATCCCAGGCCAAAATCCTGTGCTCACCTGGCAAATACAGAAACACTCTCCCTCAAGGTCACAGTCCAAGCTAAAAAGTCCCTCTCCTATAAAGTTCTCTGGCCTCATGAGAGATAGCCATATTCCACCCGAACATCAAAGTGAGAGGCAGCACAACACAACTATTAAGAACTTCTACTTGTGTTTGAGTCCAGGACCCAGCAGTTATTAGTGATGTGATGTTCGGCAAGGTGTGTGATCCATGCCAGCCTTGGTTTCAATGTATGTACACTGGGGAAATATCAGCTCTCACCTCATAGGTTAAAAATGATAGGGCACCAACTGGGACAGAGCCTAAAACTGGTGGTAAATGCTCGAAGTGTTGGCCACTGTTACAACTAGCTATCAGTCCCCAGAGGGGCAGGCTACAAGCTGAGGTCTTAGGGACACACACCTCAGGCAAAAGAAGTGGGAACATAACCCCTGGCACCCCGGAAATGGGAATGCCAGTAACCTCCAGGCCAGGCCCAGCTGCTGGAGCTCAGCACACTGGTCCCCTCCCAGATCCCCCTCATTCCATTCTTCCAGCTCCCCTTCTAGGCCTAGACACAGTCGCTACTGCCCACACACCTGCCTCATTTCTATGGGGGGTGTTGCTGGGTACATTTTGCCAGAAAAAGATCTCCCCAGGACAGGCCCCATGTCACCTTCCCTTGTATAGAGTCCACAGAGGGCTAGGGTTACACGTGGCAGGCTCCTGATTCAGGGGTGGGCCGACTCAAGAAAGATGCCCAGAAAGGGTAGACATTGTCCGATGCCCAGACCACAGCCCTCCTGCCCACAGCCCCCGTACCGATGACGGTCAGGTGGGTACTGGCAGTGATGCTGGTGACCACGTTGGTGGCGATGCACTCCCACTCCCCGTGGTCCTCCTTACTCAGGGCTCGAAACTGGAGACTCCCGCTGGGCAGGGCATTGTGCTTGCTTCTGCTGGGCTTCCCTACCTTGGCCAAACAAGGGGGCAAAGAGGAAGGCAGGAGCGGGTCGGCAGGGGAGGAGCCGGGTCAGCAGGGAAGAAGAGAAGCCACCAACACATCAGAGGCCCAAGAACAGGAGGAGCAAGTGGTACCCGAACATTCAGCCCACACCCCCACTGCCCCTCCTCCAGAGCACCCATCACTCTAGAAGTCAGCCCCACTGCTCAGCACCTGGCCCGGTCACAACAGAGCACTACCAGATCTTGCCCCTCCAGCACACTTCCCAAGAGCTCCAGAACCTGAAGGTACCTTTCTCCAAGTGATGACAGGGAAAGGGTCCCCTGCAGCAGCACAGGGGATAAGCAGCTCCCGGCCAGCCTCCTGCCTATACTCCCAGCCTGGTAGCACCGTAAAATACGGGGGGTCCTAGGGAGAGCACAGCAAGGCCATGAAGTCAATCATTTCAGCTTGCCCACTCCCATGGAGGCCACTCTCAGCCCTGGGCCTCACCTTCAGGACAAGCCGTGCAGGAGCAGACTGGCCCATGGTCCCCAAGGTGTTGTAAGGCACACAGGTGTAAGTGCCAAGAGCCTCCTCTGTGGCCTCCTCAATCCGAATAGAGCCATCCTCCATCAGGGTCCAACCCAGGTTCTGTCAGAGCACAGACAGCAGAACAGGGAGCAATGGTCAGGGGACAGAAGCTCGGTCCCAGCCCCCACCAGGCCAGACCTAACTTTGCAGACCTGGACACAGCACCAGCTAGTGTGGGGTAAGGGGTTGTCTAAGTGCCCTGGGAGAATGGCAAAAGCTCTACCAGAGTGTAGACCCGCCACAGGAAGCAGCTCGTTGCTTTCTCAGAGTTTTTTGGTAGGGACTAGAGGAGTCCTGCAGGGAACCAGACCCTCAGAGGCAGCAGCTCAGCATCAGGAGAGTCTCACTGTGACCCCACATGCATCTTTTCAGCACCTTCTCAACCTGCAGGGGGCGGCCATCTTTGTTCCACTTGACCACGGTGGCTGGTGGCTCTGCATCCACAGGGCATCGGATATAGCCGTGAATTCCCACGGGCACGTAGATGACAGGGGGCATGTTGAGGACACGGGCTGGATCTGTAGAGGGGTAGCATGGGGTGGGAGAGAAGAAAGGCAGGAGGGCAGTCAAGGAGTGAGAGATCTGGGCAGGGGGCCAAACCACCACATAAACCCCTGGGGTCTCATACAGACACTCCTACTCCAAGGAACTGCCATTCATACCCATCCACCCATTCAGTAAACACTGCCTATGTCCTCAGTGCTCACAACAGTGCCAGGTACCTGGACCACCATGAGGAACAAGACGGACAAAGCGCAGAGGCCACATCAGGCTGCCCCAGTGCAGTGTGGGCTGCCGGCGGCTTTTCATCTGCCCAGCCTACTGTATTCTTAAGAACTTCTGTTTCAAATGTCTGGAGGCACCCAAAGGCATGTTTTCACCTGCCTAAATCCCTAACACCCCTCAAATGCTCCTACACATGGACTGAACTGCAGACTAAGGACCCTGGATGTCCATTTCCCCAGCCCCTAGACTCCAAACTCAAAGTCAACATTTGACCCTATCCTCCACCGACCATTCCTCATCCCAAGTGTGTCTTGGACACCAAGCAGCTCTCTCTCGCTCCACATCCTAAACCAAAAGTGGAACATCAGTTCTACATTCTGTGTTCAGAGACATGACCACCAGTGATTCTTTCCTCTCCTCTCCATTCTGCTAGCTGTCCAGCCCCTCTTGGCCTCAGTTTCCCCTCTGTGCATCTGGAATACGGAATCAGCTTTGGCCACAGAATGGATGAAAGTTTCCCACGAGAGCAGCAAGAGGAGCACATCCTGTGATGTGGGTGACTCATCACCTTTCCATTCTCCCCAATTTCCCCTGAGGGCGACCAGGAGAAAGATCCAGAACTTCCAGTGAGGCAGTGAGGATGAATGAGCTGGTATGTTTTAAGCATTTGGAGCTCTTCAGAGAACAGCATTACATAAATATCAGGCCGAGTTATATATTTAGACATAGCTTCCTTCTTTTGTATGTAGAGTTTTTTTTTTTTTTTTTTTTTGCCTCCAAGATTTTTCAAAGGGTTTATGAATGGGAAATACTCTGAACGCTGCTTTTTAGCAGAAATAAAGATCCTTGTCTCACCCACCCGAAAATCTCACCCCCCGGATTCCCTCTGAAGGCAAAAAGGAGGTAAAAAGGGACAAGCTGCAGTGGGTGATGGCACTGGGGAAAGACGCAGAAACCGCATATCCCTCTCGGCACAGAATGGCCCATGGCTTCATGGATGGGGGCCTTACTTTTGGTTATATTCCTCATCCTTCTGAAGACTACCCCTGCTGGTTCTCTCTCTCTCTGCCCCCGCCACCTTCTAGCCCAAGTGACATAACTAGACAAGATGCTACTCCAAGTGGACTCTTCCCTGCCCTTAGCTCCTCCACATCTAGCACAGCTTGGGGCACATGGTAAGTCATGTTTAAATAGCTTCTTGACTTGCTTTTTCCTACTGCAGGTCAGGGTGGGAAGTGCTTGATGTCCTGGGTCACACCACATAGCTTTCCTAGGGCCTCATAGCCCTTAAAAACTTAGACTCATCATACAGCATGCTAAAAGCCCTTTTTAAGTTGATGACAATGGAAGTGGAAAAATGATGCCTTTGTCCCCACAAGCAAAATCACTGCATGGAGAAGGAAACAATAAGCATCTGAGGTGAGAAGCTAGACAGGGCTCAAAGGTCCAGCTTGGCTCCACCACCACAGCGCCCACTCAGCAGTAGACAATTGCAAACACCCAGCTGTTTGGAGTGGCTTTGGAGACCAGCCCCACTTCCTGGGGTCATCAACTGTCCTTCTGCTTGTTCTCAGCTCACATGCTGACCAGGGCATCTCTAGGCTATTGAACTTCTCACCCAGCCACGGCATGCCCTTGCAGGTGAGCAGTCTTCCCATACTAGCCCTCAAGTGATAAAAAGCCTGTCACCTACGGTAACCAGGCAGGGCCTTTGTTGTCTGAGTGACAGGGCCATCCACAAATCAAAAGAAAGAAATTAATCCTCATTACTCATCCTTCTGTCTCTTTCTCACAATGATCAGCTTGCCAGGGGGTGGGAAAGCATCGACCACACTGCTGGATTCAAGATTAGCAAACTGAATTATTGCACTTGCACAAAAGCCCTCAATTGTTCTGGCATGAGGAGCAGCTCATCCATTTGGATCTCTGGCCGCCCTAGAGAAGAGCTAGAAGAAAGCCAAGAGGGAGCCAGATGCTGGCAGAACTAGATCAAGTCACCCCAGAAGAGGGTTCTGTCCCCTTCACTCCAAACAGCTGTCCACAGTGGGGGAAGGCATAGAGCTGGCAGGAAATCTAACTCTACTTCAGCTTCACCTACACTCCCTCATATACCTGAGAAAAAAAGGACCAGAGACCATCTCATTCAACATCCAGAGAGAGGAGTTGGCTAGCATTCAATACAAAGACAACTGCTCAAAAGGTCTACCGATTCTTGAATCCAACCTAAGCTTGTTGACTGATGGAATGAATCAGTTAACACTTGTAGTGATGCCTGGCCCATAGAGGACACCCAGCAAGCACTGTTTCACCTCAATTGACCAGCCCAAGTCTTGGCCTCATGTTGGGCTATCCCTGCTTCCTGTCATTCCTCTGCCCACATTCCCTCAAATGACATTCGGTCTCTTACTATCCTCCAGCCTCCAGTCTGGCTAATGTGGCTTGGATCTTCTGGAACCCCCACCACGTGTTGCTCTCCCTATCCCTACTCACACTGCACAGTTAAGTATGCTGAGGCAGAAGGGGAGCGCCCCAGGCTGTTGCTAGGAACACAGGTGTATTTCCCTGCATCCTCAGGTTTCACCCGGAAGATGATCAGGGTCCCATCGATCAGGATCCGCACTCTCAACTTCAGGTCACTACAAACACACAAAGAGACAAGGAGGGGTGGGGGAAGAGGGTCTTCCATGAGACAGTGGAGCAAGGCAGCAAGGAGTCCCCTCTCTGTGAATGAGGCAAGGAGAGCCAGAGCCTCCTCATATTCCTGGCCCATCTCAAGGCCACTCTGTGCAGACACTGGCCTTGCATGAGGGACAGATTAGACCTCCCCTCTGCAAGCTCCTAGAGCCCAAGAGCAGCCTGCAGCAGCCCCTGCTCAGAGGCCTTGCCCCTGGGAGGCCTGGTGTCTGGGGACCCCACTGAGAGGGCAGGGCAGCATGCTCACTTCTGGAAGTAGACGTTCTCGTCCTGCCAATACCAGGTGTAGGTAAGGTTGCCGGGATACGCCTCTGCCCGGCAGGTGAGCAGAGCATCCTGGGATATGTTGACAGTGATGTTCTCAGGAGGGGAAACGATGAAGGGAGGCCCTAGGGAATAGGAAATAAACATAACCTTACCTGGTATGGGAGGGGAGCACAGCAGTGCTGGGACCTCCCAGGAAGCTCTGAGAGGTCTCAGCAAGCAGTGCCTAAACTCCAGGAGGGAGCTGGAGGGTAGCACTGGTTCAAGAGGCAACAGCACAACCCTGGGCAGTCGCCACAGAGATGCTTCCAGCTACTGCTAGCATTCACATTCTTACTCTCCTTACAGGTCCCAGAGATGCAAAAAGTCCTGGGGTGTGACCACAGTGAGCCCCAGCCCCCTGAGCCAGCTGCAAGACACCCTTGTTGGTGTATACCTGCACCCTGCCTCCATGCACAAGCTCCCCAAACCAGCCATCTCACCCCTAGACACATAGACATACATACCCCTTCCTGCTCATCCTTCTCTCCAGCAGAACCTGAGCAGGGGACATGCATGAGGGACAAAGGCCACTCTTTTCAATCCAGAGCAAGGAATAATCTTGCTTCTAAAGGAGTTAAAAGGCTTGTGCTGCTTATCAGCCAGAGGTCAAGAGGGCAGATTTGGGGAGAGGAGGCAGGGGGATAGCAGAGTAAACAGAGAGTGAAATCCCAGAACTCCCTGGTGCTAGCTTTCCAGATAGGCCACAGCTGCCACTTTGCTCTCTCCTGAGAGTGGGCAGCTCTTCTCCAATCTACAGAGGGACCTCTGGCCCATGCTGCAACACTCCAAGTCAGAAGAAGGCAAAAAGAACATGTGTCTCAGCAGCCCTGGCAGCCCAGACAGCCACCACTAGCTCTCACCCGCTCCTTCAGCAGGCAGCAGGTGGGAGGCAAAGAGGGTGGATGGGCTCAGTACAAAGAGATTCTGCCATCCTGACGCTAGTCCTTCTGGGGCACACTGGGGCCCCAGGCAGGGAAAACTGGCATTTCCCAGTGCTGACCATGCAGACCCCAGCTTTGCCAAATGCCCTTCAGTGTTATTTTAAATGTCTGAGGCTTGGATTGAATTCCTATCTTTATTTATTGAAGCCGTCACTAATGGGGTGGAAACCTAAGGGAGGTCTTCTCCCCTGGGGAAGATGGAGGTACAGCAGGACACTACTCAGACAGAGTAACCATCAACATGGTGCCTCCTGTCATCCCGTGTGATGGCCACAACAGGCCACCATGGGCACTTGGGCTATGAACTACGCAATGCTCAGGGGGAGCCCAACCCCACTCCTCATGAACTGCCCATCTCTCTACCTACCTCAGCTGTGCCAGTCGTGCCCTGGGCAAACCCCTCTGCAGCTCAGATGGGACGAAAGTCCCTGTAAAAGGTCTGAGGCATGAAGAAGCCAGAGAAATCTCTCTTACCTTGGACAAGCAGGTGGGTGGTATGAACAGCCTCCCCCTGAATGCTGTATGCGCGACAGGTGTAGGCACCTCTGTCCTCCCTACTGACCGATGTCACCGTCAGGCTGCCATCACTCACCTGGGGCCAAAGAGAGATGGAGCTCAGCACCCACACTGGGGCCCCACCAGGGGCTATCTCCTCAGGCAGAGATAGCCTCAGGGCTCATGCACTACGGAGATATGGAGCCAGGCACTCCGTTCATCTCCCTTCAACCACAGACACCAACAAGGCTGCCTGCTGTGCAATGTTACTGGTCACATGAAGCAGGAGACCACCGTGGAGAGGGAGGAGGCAAAGGAAGGGCAAGCAAGGAGAAGTGCAGCAGCCCCAATGGAGAACCACACTTACCTGGTATTTCCCACTAGCACCTAGGAGTGTCCCCTCCTTCAGCCAGGTGACAATGGGCTTGGGGTTCCCAAAAGCTGTGCAGGTCATGGTAACACTGCCGCCCTCCTTGGCCTCGATGTACTGCGGGGGTGTTTCCGTAAAGGTGGGAGGAGCTGCAGAGAGATGCAGGGTGGGATTAGCCAGGCTGCCGCCCTGCATGCAGTGCCCACCCACACCAGGCACCATGGCCATTGTGTTCATACTTAACCTTCCGCGAGGTGCTAGGATAAAGGAAGGAAGGGGGACACAAGTAAAATCCTCTGCGCCTGAGTCTTACAGGAGAAGAGGAGACCTGAAATTCAAAGTCAGTCTGGCTGGGTGCAAATTCTAATATTCTCCCATTGTGCTTCGCTAATTCCCAATAAACAAATATTTGCTGAGTACCTACAAGGAGGCCACCATGCTCAGCACTAAGGACAAAGCGATAAACAGCACAGCTCCCATGACTTGCAGAGCACACACTTGCTACTAGCTCCAGACTGTTCCATCACCCCCCACTCCGGTCTTTCACCTAAAGATCATCCCTGATACTCCAACTTCCTTAACCCCAGCCCAGTCAGGCCCCATATTTCCAGGATGTCTCCCACCTGAGCTCCATCTAGGCCTACTACAGACCACAGGCCATGGTGACAAGGAATCTTACTCTTCCAGATTAGGCAGAGAAAATTTTCCACCTTCTTCCTTTTCTGGCATCCAGACAGAAAGACAGCCCACTCTGCAGGCTACTCCTTTTTTAATTTTCTTCTGATTATGCCAAGTTATCCCCACACTACCACCTGCATTGATTGTAGTTTTTTTTTTTTTTTTAATTTTTTTTTTTTCAACGTTTATTTATTGTTGGGACAGAGAGAGACAGAGCATGAACGGGCGAGGGGCAGAGAGAGAGGGAGACACAGAATCGGAAACAGGCTCCAGGCTCTGAGCCATCAGCCCAGAGCCCGACGCGGGGCTCGAACTCACGGACCGCGAGATCGTGACCTGGCTGAAGTCGGACGCTTAACCGACTGCGCCACCCAGGCGCCCCTGATTGTAGTTTTGACCAATATCCATCCTGTTTGGATAATCAACTGTTCAGAGACTCAGTCTCATCAGTCTGAGCTGCTTGTAGAGGCAATCAGATCACTCTTAACCTCTTGGACTTTCATTGCTTTTGAAGTGACAAGGAGGGGCCCCACTTTTAACCTTGAGTCCTAGGGTTCACAATGCCTGGCTGAGGCAGGACATTTTTAGCTCATCTCAAGGTACCCAAAGACCAAGTTACAGTGCAGCCTGCCACTAGTTGGGTAACCCTGGACAAGTTACTCAGCCTCTCTGGGCTTTACCCAAATCTGGCCCCCTCCAGTATTGAGGTGAGGAATAAGTGAGATACAGTTTGTGAAAGGGATCTTGTGAATGTAGATACGTGTGAAATGTTGGTTATTTTGCCATGACTATCATCATTGTCATCTCCCCAGAAACATCTGAGGCACCAATGAGAAGCTTTGAGGGGCGCCTGGGTGGCTCACACAGTTGAGTTTCCAACTTCAGCTCAGGTCATGATCTCACAGTTTGTGAGTTCAAGCCCTACGTTGGGCTCACTGCTGTCAGCCTGGAGTCTGCTTCAGATCCTCTGTCCCTCTCTCTCCCTGCCCCTCCCTGGCTCACACTCTCTCTCAAAACTAAAATAAACATTTTAAAAAGAGAGAGAGAAGCTTTGAGATAGGTGTCACCTCTCCAGACAGCATTGCCCCGAGAACCAGTCAGAGTGCTTTGAGGTTTGGTACTGTCTGCCCCCTCCTCTGCCAACCTCGTCTGCTACCATATACCCCTTCACTGTGCTCTAGCCACCCTGGCCATCTTTGTCTTTCTCAAATGTGCTAAGAATGTCCGATCTCAGGGCCTTTGCATTTGCTGCCCTCTCTGTACCCAGACCTCACGCCTTTGGTTCATGCAAATCTTCACTAAAATGCTATCTCTGCCTTAAGTGGTCAGCCCATCTAAGATAGCACTTCTAACATTCTCTACCCCCTTAGACTATTTTATTTTCTTTAAAGTACTGATCACTGACTCTCCCTGAGAACAAAGATCTTTTCAGTAAATCACACTGCATGCCTGGCTTTTAGCACAGTTCCTAGCTTGTAACAGAGCACTCAACGAATGTCTGCTGAATGGATAAATGAATTAAATGTACATACATACACACACCTACAGACCAACACAAATTCAAACACATAAAACTTCCTAGGAACAAGACCATGGCAATACCACTTTCTTCAATCATTTCCAAAGCCCTTAACTCAGTGCGGGCACACAGAGGGCACTTGGAGAATGAATACTGAGTGAATTAAGAAGCATAGTTCATCACACACAAAACACACACAATGGACAACTTCAAGCACATCAATACTCATCCAGCATCTAATATAATAAAAATGATGGCAAAAACCATCCCAAATCCTTATAAAGGGATTCTGGAATCCTAGCTTCTAGGCCTCTCGTGCTGCCCTGGAATGTGTGCTCATCTCCAACAGAGCCCCTCTTGCCAAGTCTGTCCCTGGAAATATAGCCACAGCCTTATTACCTCTGGTGTCAAGCTTAAAAGAAAAGATAATAAATTAAATTACGTCCTGAAGTGACAAATTAATTACTAATTACATAATTACTTTATTATTTAGGTGCTAATCAGGAAAGTACTTTGAACAATCTCGAGTTTTCAGGAAAACAATGGTTTGACTCTCAATTATTTACAGAATTAGGTGTTAGCTTGCCAGCTGCATTTCTAGGCTTAATTCTTTTTTACAAGTGCTCTATAATTAATAGTGCAGGTTAGAAATAGACTGGCCTCTCCTCCAAGTAATTCACCAATGTAAAGCAAGACTTGGCTTGGGCTTTTTGGGTATTTTATGTGATAAAGGAATAATTGGGTTTGTTTCCACCCAACTGGTCTTTAAGAAAACACAGAAGGAGACTGAGACCATTTATAATTCTAATTTTTCACTGGCCTTTCATTTTCCAAAGGTGATCTCTGTCAGAAAATGCCTGACACTAAACATTCTAGTTTGGAAGCAATGGAATGCTGGCACTCCAGACTCTTTCCTTCCATAATGGAAATATTTATGCTGGAAGGAACCTCAGAACTGGGGGTGAAAGGAGGAGGGAATAAAGGGAGACAGCTCTCTCACCTTCAAATGTGTCTGCTCTAATCTACCCACTTGGGAGGCAGGCTCCTTGGTAAGGGCAAAGCCCCAGTTTAAACCCTGGAGCAGATGAGGGAACATTCTTCTTAGCTTTTCTGGCCAACACTTTCTTTTTTTTTTTTAATTTTTTTTTTCAACGTTTATTTATTTGTGGGACAGAGAGAGACAGAGCATGAACGGGGGAGGGGCAGAGAGAGAGGGAGACACAGAATTGGAAACAGGCTCCAGGCTCTGAGCCATCAGCCCAGAGCCTGACGCGGGGCTCGAACTCACGGACCGCGAGATCGTGACCTGGCTGAAGTCGGACACTTAACCGACTGCGCCACCCAGGCGCCCCTGGCAAACACTTTCTATAAACAACCTCTATGAATGCACTGACTCTCCATCTGGGCATGTGGGCATGTTGTTCCCTCTGCATGGAATACCCCTGCACCCGGCTAACTCCTCCTCCCTAGTTGGGTCTCTGCACAGGAGTCCTTCCCTCAAAGAAGTTCTCCCTCCTTTGTTCTCCCAAAGCCCATATTGCAATTTTCTCTGGACTTACTGCCTCTGGAAGTTTCCTTAAAGCTGAGTCTGGATTGGGCCCATTGCTGTGTCCCCAGAGCCTGCCACAGAGCAAACATCCAAGATGTGTGTGTGTGTGTGTGTGTGTGTGTGTGTGTGTGTGTGTGTTACTTCCCTTTATTTACAAAATCTAAAAAAAAGCACTCCAGCCTGATCTCCAGGCCCAGGATATACAGGTTACTCATGTAAATACTAAAAGCCAAGACTCAAGATGTGTTATGAATGGATAATTATTGGTGAGTTTACAAGAACTTTCAAACTACTAGAGTCCTCTGCATCTTCCAGTCTGAGGACCTTCCTATATACCACCTCCCTGCCACTACTATTTCATTTGATTTCATCTTTTTTTCTCTCTTGAGAAAAAGAATGGCCAGCATCTGACCCACATGTAATTAATGTCACAGACATTGTGCAGGACACTTTCTTACACAGCATTTCATCTGATCTTCACAACAGCTCTGCAAACAGGCATTGGTTTTGGTAACTGAGGGAGTTGATGCCCAGAGAGTTGCCTGGGATCTTACAGCTACTGAATGCATGAAATAAACCAAACCTTTTCAAGGCCTTCTCCCATGCTTATTCCACTCTAAGTCATTGTGAATTCTCACAGAACCAATTCCCACTCGTGCAAACTAATACAGAGATGTAATACAACACACAATCTCCAATTAAATTCTACCTTCCTGTCACGTGAGTGCCTACTGAACACCTGACATCTCAGGTCAATGAAGTGGGCGCTGCCAGGAGGACATGAAGGGAAAACAAGGTGGTTCTTGGAGATTACAGCCCAGTTTAGAAAGGGCATAAGAGAGAAAGAAAGCAACATGGGGACTCTTGGCTCAGTGTTCAATCAGCGAAGCTTTTCGCGGCAGATTTACCTTCCTAATTATGTTTTGCTTGGGCTAATATTTTTTTTTTAATTTTTTTTTTTCAACGTTTATTTATTTTTTGGGACAGAGAGAGACAGAGCATGAATGGGGGAGGGGCAGAGAGAGAGGGAGACACAGAATCAGAAACAGGCTCCAGGCTCTGAGCCATCAGCCCAGAGCCTGACGCGGGGCTCAAACTCACGGACCACGAGATCGTGACCTGGCTGAAGTTGGACGCTTAACCGACTGCGCCACCCAGGCGCCCCGATTGCTTGGGCTAATATTAAGATGAGTTTTCATTCTCGGCACACACAACAGCTGGCATCAAAAGGAGGTGACTCAAAAGCTTGCTATGTGGTGGGGACAGCCCACCCAAGACTTAAAGTAAGCCTCCAATCAGTCTCTTGGGACTGACTGACAGGAGCCAACTATATCTAATGGGTTGGGCAGCCTAGGACTGACAGGAGCCAACTATATCTAATGGGTTGGGCAGCCTAGACCAACACTGTTCTAGGACCACCATCGCTAAGTCTGCTCTTCTCAGATAACAGTGCCCTGGCTAAAATACTCTGTTCTTTCAGGACCCTGGAGAGGTTCTCAAGCCAAGGAACATGGCCTGCCCCCCTTGGGAGGAATGACCCAACCCCACAAGGTAGGGCAGAGAGAGCCATCCTTCAGAGCAGATCAATACTATGAGAAACTTCCAAGCCAGGAACAACATCAATTTCTCTCTCCCAACCACAGCATCTATAGTCACAGATATCAAAACCACAAGGACCCAAGCTCTGTGTGGCACATCCAAAGCATATATGCCACTTCTCCAGATTTTTCTCCACAGTTCCAGCTTCTCCTGGCTCCTCTAGAGTATCTCCTCCCAAGTAAGGACTCCCAGGGACATAAGAGAGACTCTCTTGTGGAATGCACGCAGAGGGCCCAACCCCTGGTGTGGTCACAGCCTTAGAATCAGGCCCCCAGCCTGCACCAGCACTGGGAACTCAACTAAGTCACTTGGGCCTCTGCAAAGGGCTTTGTTGCCTTTTCCCAAACACTTGAAAAGCATCAACACATAGCAGTTAATTTAACTGAACTATAATAACTGATAGCCATTAAAATGGTTACTCTTCACAGGATTCTTACATTTTCTTAGACAGTAAACCCAGCACAAGAAGGGACCATGTCTGGGTTGGCTCACCATCATTTCTCTTCCCCTAGTGCAAGGCTAGGCACACAACAGACACTCATTACATATCACTCAAATGAACATATTTAACAAGGAACCAAGATATTAACCTAAAAATGAAAATGGTTATGGTGGGGCTCCAGAAATCCCACTAGAGCAAGAAGGCATTATTTGGACTAGCAGGGTCTTCCCAAGGCTGGGAAATGGTGCCAGAGGCTATAAACTGGGCTTCGACAAAGCCTTAAACCTCCTGGTTCCAAGAACCAGCTACCTACCTCCCTCTGAGGAACTCTGACTCCACCACCCACAGCAAACCCCACTTCGTGCTCAGGGAGCTGCTCCTCCTATGCACCTCTGTTAACCCAAGGCTCTAGGAAGACAACTGAAGGGGCGTAGGAGGTGAGAGCTACTAATGCAATGGGGCCCGGCCCTGATGAGGCTCCTCTTTGTGGCAGAGATTTGGGGCAGGAATAGTGGCTTTGCCTAAAGCAGGTCCTCAGAGAGCAGTCTTCTGGGTCATCCCCCACCCGCCCAGCCCCAGGAATGAGGCCCATACACACCGTTGATGGTAAGGTGGACCCAGCTACCATTGTGAAAGGTGTCATATTGTTGGTCCAGCATGAGCACTTTGCACTCGTACCAGCCCTGGTCCTCAGAGCGAACCTGCTCCAGTCGCAGGGATGCTTTATCATGAAGACTTGCCCGGCCTGCAGGAAGAAAGTGGACAAAAGCCCAGGAGGCCATCAGGGTGAGGCTAGCAGTGTGACACCTGCCAAAGGCAGAGGACCCATTGTAACCTTCAAACCATTTCCCATGATAGGACCCCAAAATAACACCTCGCACCAATCCCAGGCAGTAGGCTGAAAGGAAAAGGCACGCAGCCTTGCCATGGAGCCACTCTCCTGGTCTCGGCTGGCCCAGCCCCGCTGCAACTGTAACTCTGGGTTTGGCCCTGGGAAGAACCTCAGTCCCTCAGAATACTCCTATTCTTTTGGAGATCTCTTGGGATAAAGGAAAGGCATGGGGGATGCAGAGCTGAAGAAAGAGAGTGGGAGGGAGCGAGGGAGGGAAGCAAAGGTGCAAATAGAAGAAGGTGAGGTATGGGACTCTAGAGCAGGCCCTAAACCTCAATTCAGGCTGAGTGACATCCTTCTCCCACCTGGGTCCCCACCACCAGCATCTCTCTGCCTGTCTTCCCTATGGTAAAGCAGAGGAAAGGCAGGCCAGGGACCAGGGTGGAGAGGTCCCCTCCAGGTGCTGCTGCCCATGCCTGAGACACTGCACATCTAGCCAGAACCCAGTGTCCCCAAGAGCTAAGACGCCAGAGCCCATAAGCCCAAGAATGAGGACAGGGCTGGCAAGCAGAGCAAAGGCCCCCCAGCTACCCTCCTTAACTCCATCCTCCTCCCCATTAGGAGGCCATCTTTGTCTCACTCATGGTGATGAGATGGTAAGAACTGCGGCAGGAGCAAGCAGAATGGGAGTCTAAAATGAGGATACAAAGCACCCCTCAGGGTCCACCTTCCCCTCACCCACCACCTCAGCCCAGCCCTCAATGCCATGTCACCACCTTCTCAGTTTTCATCCTGTCTCAACACTGGCAATCTGCCTAAAAACCAGAGCATCAAATGGCCAAAAACAGAGTGAGAGAGAGATAAATGGAAGCTTTCTGAGAGATGCAAATCAGACCTCAGAAGTCTGACCTCAAAGTCCTGCCAGCTTCCTGTCTTCCATTAAAATTCCAGCACACATATGCACACGCGCGTGCACACACTCCTACACGCATGCATGTCCCATGCTCTCCTCCCTGGCAGGCTGGCAGACAGGCACTGGCAGTGACTCACATTGAGGCCCCTTCTGGCAGGTGGAACCACAGAGCAAGACACCGAGGAGACCAGTAGGAGAGAGGCTGGAGCAGCAGAGGAGGCAGACAGCAGGTGCAAGCCACAGCCACAGCACTGCCCGGACCAGCCTCAGACATTTACTTCCACTGCTCATGGATGGGATGAGGCCCCAACTTCAGAGCTAGAGGGAGGGAGTGGGCACAGGCAGACAGAACAAAGTCTACAGTGCCACCAGCATACCTGGCCAAGGGCAGCAGGGCTCTGACTCAGCTTCTTTCTGCACAGAGCTCCCCTTCTGCCCAGCTCTCCTCCCCTGCATGGTGGGCTCTCTAGGCTTCCCTGTCCTTACTCCTGCCTCTGCCCCTACACATCCATAGCTGTGCAGTGATGCTTTGTGTCTGCACCACCTCCTCTTCCCTCTCCTCCCCACCACTTAATTAAAACCTACCAAAGTGCAAACGATGGGAGGAAAGAGGCAGAGACTATGGAGAAAAGATAACAGACCAGTCAGAAAGATAAGAAGCAATAGAAAGGCAGGAGGAAGAGTGCCATGACCATAACCACTGAGAGCAAAACCCAGGAGAGGAAACAAGCAGCCCCGTGCAGCCCAGAACTTACCTGCATACTCAGGGTCCACATGAGGGGGATAGTAGCCAAACTTGATGAAGATAGGGATGGGCACCCCAAACTTGAACCACTCCACGACATAGGGTGGGGGCTGTCCCGTCACTGGGTGAATCACATCGCATCGCAGGACCACGCCCTCGCCGGCTCTCGCAGTAACAAACTCAGGCTCCTCTCGAAGGCCGTGGGCAGCTAATGGGTCAGCAAAGTTGGGATGCACAAAGGGAAATGACAAGGAGATCCTGCCCCAGCAGCCCAAGAGGCAGCCCCTTGCCCATGTCTAGGGACCTCTGCATTCCCACTTCCTCTCCAAGGCAAGCGGCCCACCCCAGCCCTCCTCCTGAAAAGTAGTCCAGTCACTTCCCAGAAGGTCCTCAATACATTTTTAACCCCCTTAATCCCCTCTCTGCTCATACCTCCCACAGCTCTGGGGGCCCCAGCTATCCATGAACCTGAGACAGGTAGGAAGGGGAGCAGAAGAGGAGAGAGAAGCAGTTCTTTCCAGTCCTGCATGCCAAACCTTCCCTCCCCAATCCCAAAGAGCAGATCCATGACCATATCCTCCTCCTTTGAACTCCCAACAGTCCTAAGGAGTCTGGCTACTGAGAAAGTAAAGGGGCCTCAGCCTCTCTGTGGAGACCTGCAGCCTGGATTACAGAAGCCTGCTGTAGCAGAGGGTAAACATGGAATCTCTTCCTGTGCAGGATGCTTCCCACCAGAGCCTGGTAGGAGCTGCAGAGCCAGCCTCCTCCTACGCCCCACCCCCAGCTCAGCCTGATGTTCACAGCACAAAACAAGAGTACTCCATACAGGAGCAGGGGAATCCCTAACAAGCTGAGCAGAGGCTGCTCATGGCAACACCAGAGGGAAAACCCCACAGGCCTGACTAGCCTCTCCAGGCTCCTCCCTCCCACGCCCCACTGCACCTGCTACAAAGAGGGGAACAGAAGGGTCCTCCAGCCCTCCAAATTCCAAGCCCAAGACATCACCATTAGGATAGCAGTATGCTGGGGGCAGAGCAGGGATCCTGGGGCTGCTAAGTTCAGCCAGCTAAGGAGAAATCACCCCACCTTTAGTAGATGATAAAACATATGGCTGGATAGGGTGCGCCTATCCTCTTGGCAGCAGGAGGGCAAAGTGGAGAGAGACCCATCCCCACCCACAAGCTGGAGGACACAGAGGACAGGCTAACTCAGGCACTGCTTCTCTCACTGGTCAGCCTGTTCATGAGCCCCTACAGGAGGCATGCCACCCCCACCTCCAGCCTAAAACTGCTCCCTCCCGCATGAAGCCTCCGTGCCCACAAAGTCACCTTGTCGAGCTTGCTTCCCAGTGAAGAGGACAGCCTGGAGAAGCCTCTTCTTCCTGGCTTCCCTCACACTACCCAACACAATTACAGAGGAGACCTCCCCGGCTCTCCCCATCCAAACTCACCGCCCCTCCCAGTCCCTGCTGGGCCGCTCCAGGCAGCACCAAGGACAGCAGCTGTTCTACTAGCAGTGCAAAGCCAAGAGCTGATGGACCCTCCCAACACAGAAAGGATGCCCAAAAGAACAGCGTGTCTGTTTGTCTGTCTGTCTGCCTGTCATGGTGCTTCTGTATCTGACTCTTACTGCATCTCTGACCCCTGTGTGCTACTGCCTGTCTCCTTATCTCATCTCTCTGCTTCATGTCTCTGTGTCTTTGGCTCTTTCTATGTGTCTGTCTCTCTGATTCTGTCTTCTGGTTCTGAGACAGAAGTCTCTCTCCTACTCCTTCTTCATGTGTCTCTGTGCTGTTCCATCTCAAATCTTCAAGTCTCTCTGTCTCTGCCTCTTCCTCTTTAGCTCTCCCTCTATGAGGATGCTTCTACTTGTCTTTCTTGGTTTGTCTGTGTGTGTGTGTGTATTAGGGAAAATATGTGGATTTCTTTTCACCTATGCACTGAGAAGGGATTCTGCCTGCTTTTCTGTGTGGAGGTACCTCTATGTGCTTATGTTTCTGTGTTTGCGTCTTTCTGTGTCTGTCTGCATGTTCGTTGTTCATCTGTGTCTCTCCTTCTCTCCCTCCCCATCCCCCTCTCCCTCTCCTCCCTAAGTTGCGGAAGGAGGAGGAGGCAAGCCCTTCTAGAAGCTGATTGGCTACTGGTGACATCACTGTTTTCTAGAGAAAGAGCTAAGATCACAGAGTATTTTTGGAGCAGAGCGGGAGTGTTGCACTCACCTGCCAGAGGCCCCAGCAGGTTTCCCAATACCCCCACCCCCAACGTTGTTTCAGGCTAGGTTTGAATTCCAACCCCTCAGGGAAAGCTCCAAGAAGGCCCAGCTGCAGCAGGCACCTCCCCCACAGCCCCAGAGGCACCTGGATAAGGACAGAGCCTGCCTCCTAGCCTCCAGGAGCACAAAGGCTGATCCTGGACCCAGAAAGAATGGGCAAACAGTAGGCACCATGTGTGAACAGGGGGAGCAATGTGTGTGTGCATATGTGAATGTGTGTATATGAGGCTGCTCTTGGCAAAAGGATGTATGTGTGGATACATGCCTGTGTGTATGTGACTAGCTCTTAGCAAACAGACAAGGATGAGTGGGGGGGGGGGGATGCTGCATGTGTGAGTGTGTATACGTTTGTGACTGTGTGTGTATAGCACAGACTTTCCAGGCGGTTAAAGGAGGAAATACAGGAGGCTGGGAGAAGAGGAAGGAGGTATTCCAGGGCCTAGTTACCTGGTGTGCAGGACAGAGGCTGTCCACAGAAGGGGGCCTCTTCCCAGGGCTTTGGCCCCTAGAGCCTAAGGCAAGAGGCAGAGGGGCAAAGAAAATGACCAGCTCTGCTGAGCAGGTGGTTGCCCACTTTTAGCAGTGAAGCTTGGCTCTGTAGCACCATGGCTACTGGGGTTGAGGGCTCTGGAGAGCAATGCCAGGAGGTAGGTTGGCTCCAAAATGGGTTCCCACAGTGCCTCCTGCTCAGTGCTGCCTCAATCACACCTCCCCCAGCACTGGGGCTGGCTCCAGGTTTCCACTTCCACCCCCAGCCAGCACCTGGGCTCAGGACTGAGCACCCAACCCAAGGCCCACCCCCAAGCCAGTCAGCCCCATCCCTCATCTCTGCACAAGGACCCTTTCAACCAGGGACAAGCAGCTGGAGAGAGGACTCAGTGAGATAAGCATCCCAAATATGATAAGCAAGGCAGAAAGAGATGGAGTTTCCCAAGAAGAAAGCAGAGGTGTGGGAGCTCCTGGCCCAGCCTCTGCACTTGGTTCAACCCATTTGGTTTTCTGAACCCTGAAGTACTTATCACCTTCCTCAACTCCTCAACACACACACACACACACACACACACCACTCTCACTCCATCACCTACAAGCACTTCTTCCTAAGCCTGATCCTTCCTGAGCCAAAGCATGTCTAATAAAACACTTTCTCTAGAAAAACTCAAAGCATGAAACAAAAGTAAACAGGGTGGCAGTAAATAGGGAAGGGGTGCTTGATGGAGGAGAAACTCTCACCTAGGACACCAAACCCAAATTGAAGACTTTGAAAGAGACTCAAGAAACCAGGAAGGAGAGAGACACAGAGACAGACACAGTGCAAACCTGACACAGGAAGAGCCCAGCCCACAGCAAGAAAGAGAACTCTGGGGCACGGAGGACCCAAAGACATAGGCCTTCATAGGAGCCCAGAATCAGGAAGACAGAGCAGAGGCTATTCGTTCAAGAAGCAAGTGGGCTTCTCCCCAGCAGATTGACTGGAGCAACTGCCAGTGGGCAGGGGGGCAAGAGGAGGAGAAGGAAAGGATCGAGAGTGACCTGAAGTGAGGAGGGGCTGCAAGAGGCAGAGACACCCCCAGGCCCCTTCCCCACCAAAGAAGCCTACAGCAGCCCAAAGAGGTGTGGCAACAACCTCAGAGGGGAAACTGGCATCTGCAGGAGTGAGGGTGGTAGGAGCCCATGAAGTGCTCTGGATTCCACATACCTGTTTTAGAGAAGGCAGGAAACAGCAATACCCTAAGCCAAGCAAATCTGCATCTTGGGGCTCTGCCCAGCCCACTTTGGAGTTGTTTTCCCAGGATAGGGTAGAGAAAGCAGGAGAACAAAGGAAGATGAGGTAGCCCCTGCAGTCTGGCTGACCTTTCAGGAAGCCCATAGGGTACAGGTCTCCTGCTCTCTAGGCCAGGTGGTGCCCAGCAGGCAGCCAAGTCCAGGTTGCCATTGGATCCCCTGTGGACATAGAACCATGAGGAGCCAGGCTCTGGCACAGCCCTTGTGCCCCACACTTACAGCCTGGGGCTCTTCCACCAGAGCAGGGCTGGGGGAGGAAGGGTACCTGAGAATGAGAAACACTAAATGCCTAAGAAGTTCTAGGAGCCAGGGCAGGGAGAGCTTCAGCTGTCAAGCAACCAAACTTCCTCTAAATACCTACCACATACCAGGCTCTGTGCCTGGCATGTAACACAAATTTCACTTAATGCTCACAATGCCCACCTGATAGAAATACTACCAGCTCGTTTTCACAAATGAGCAAACTGGGAGGCTACCTGGCTCAGCCAAGTCACTCAGGTACAAGTAGGGGAGTCAAGCTCCAGCTGCTGTGTCTCCTCCTCCTCTTTGCCCACACTCATTGACAATATCCTGACCAACCACAGGCCCAGGCACCACAGCCTCTCCCACATTGCATCCCAGACATCCCAGACACTTTCCTCCCTGAGTCAGAGGGCAGACCTTCTCCACTACACATTCTGCTTAGGTTCCAACAGCCAGACCCATGCAGCCCAAGACTAGAAAAGGATGACAAGGTGGGTCTGTTTCAGAATGCAGCTGGTGCTCTCTGGCTGGCTCTGGGCTCAGCACTACTCAGCACCTCTGGCTACGTCTGGCAGTGGCTACCATAAGGGAAGACCACCGGGTGAGGACCAGCCTCCTTCATTCATGAGTACAAATCCTTACTGAAGCCACTGCTGCTGCCTCCTCCTCCTCTTCCTCCTCCTCCTCCCCTTCTTCCTCC